TCCAAAGAGTCGCAGATCACCACGCGTGCCATTGTCGACGAGACGACACACCGCTTGACCCAAGAGATCATCGTGCTCCAGAACCGGAGTCTGAAGCGGGGCATCGTCGACGGCACCAACAATCGCGACATCGAGACGTGCCAGCAACAAGCCTTTGATCTGGTCGAGTGGGCTGACTTGCTGGTGTTGTGCCCCATCGATGCTGACACATTATCCAAAATGATGTCTGGCGTGTCGGACACGCTCCTCCTCGAGGTGTTGCGGTCGTGGGACGCCTCCAAACGGATTCTTCTCATACCTGGCATGACGACACACATGTGGGACAACCCCGTCACGAAGCGCCAGATGAGCAAGCTTCACCGAAAATGGGGGTGGATCAGGGTCATGCCGCCGATTCTGTGGAAATACGAGGATGGTCCGACTCCCAAGCGCGAGGTCAATTGGGACGCCTTCAATGAGGTGGTGGGCATCATCAAGAACCAGGCCGACCTGCTCAAGCTGGGGCATAACGTCGAGGTTGCCGTGCAGCAAGGGGCAGCCGACATCCCTCCCGGCAAGAGGGCGCGCACAGGTCTTCCCCCCGAGATCTGGAGCATCATTCTCGAATTCACCAACGACTGGGAACTGGCCAACTCGCTCGGCGTCTTCACCACCCTCCCCATGCCGACCACATGGCGGCTCGAGCCCAAAGACCCAAAAGACCCTCTCCAGGTTTTTATGCACGAGCTGGAGTGGACCTTGCTCACGGCCAACACCGAGACCATCTGCACCAAGCTATCCGAAGCGCCGCCGGCCTTCCGCGACCTCTCGGCCCTCGCCGTGCACCTGATATTCAAATTCTCCCTCACCGGTGTGCTGGCGTACATCGAAGCCAACATGCCGCACATATTCCGGTGCTTCGACGGCAAGACCATCCCCACCAAGGCATCGGCCTACTACGGCCGCACCGACATCCTGGACTGGTGGGCGAGGTCACCGTCATTCCTCGAGAAGCAGTACGACTCGGAAGCCCTGAACGGCGCATCGGGTCGGGGTTTCGTGCAGGTGCTGGAGTGGTGGCGCCGCTCCAACCTTCCGCTCAAGTACACCGAGGCTGCGTTTGAGAGCGCGAGCTCCAAGGGGCACCTCCACGTGCTCGAGTGGTGGCGCGAAGCCTTCATCCAGGACCCGTCGATTGCGCCCAAGCCTGGCCGCGCGCTGCTGGCGGCGGCACAGACGGGGCAGACGGAAGTTATGCGTTGGTGGGAGGAGAGTGGTATCCCAGCAGATCATCACAACGACGTGTGCAAGATGGCGAGTCGGCACGGGCAGGTCAAGGTGCTAGACCTGTGGCGGGAGCTCCGCGGCGACGACAAGATTCAATATGACAACATGATCCTCGTGGACGCGACGTGCCACGCGCATATACCCGTGCTCGAGTGGTGGCGGAGGTACGCTCACGGCGAGCTGCCTGGGATGAATGGGCGCAAGGGGAAGCCGGTTGAGTACAAGACCATGGACATTGAAGAGGCGCTTGAGGACTCTTTGGGCGATCAGATCAAGGTGAGACGGTGGTGGGCCGAGAATGGACTGAACCTGGGCCTGGGCACGAGCGAGTGGATGAAGGTCAGGCATCTCTGACCGGGGCTGTGATGAATGTGAATACCAAAGCAATGGCATTACCTGCTCAAGCCATGGTTTGCTGATAGGCGTTGATTTCATGGTTTGTACAATTGCCTGACAAGACGCTCAAGGCACACGTGGCTCCATACTGTATCCGTAATCCTGGGGTATCCTCTGCCAAACGCCATAAGCCAGATCTAAAACAGGGCTCCGAGTCCATCACGATGCTTGCGGCTGCGCCGGCGGCTTCACCTTAGGAGCCGCCGGCATAAACTTTTCAGGCTTGCTTGGTATAAGCCGCCTCAAGACATCAATCTGCCTCGCCTGCGCCTTTTGCTTCAACACCTCCACGCCCCGTCTATCCACCCGCCGTAGCCCATTGGAATAGACCACGGTATAGTCGGGCACGACCTCGCCAGCCTTGATGACAGTATATGCCGTGAGCGTGCAGTGCTATACCCTTGTCAGCCCCCTCCCCTCACCGAACAGAGAGAGCAACAATACCTTTCCCACCTTGGCCCCCGCCCCAACAACCGTCCCAGCACCCACCGTCGTCCCCTCGCCCACCGCCGTGTCGCCCGCCTCCACTGTCGCCCCAGTCTCCACCGTCACGTAGTCCCCCAGCTTCACGCCCACGGCCACCACTCGCCCCGACGCCCCCACCGCCCCGACCACCGCCCGCTCGTGCACGATGCACCGCCGCCCGACGTGCACGGAGCCTGCTTGCGCTTCGATCCGCGCCCGCGGGTGGATCACGCTCTCGCTGGACAGGGTGACGGGGAAGGTGCCGATGAGTTGGGCGGACTCGGAGATTAGGGCCGACGAGGAGAACTCGATGGGCGGGATGGGCGGGCCCGGCGGGCGCGGGGTGGAGGTCGAGGGGCGCGAGGCGCCGCCGGGGAGGAGGGCGCGTTTGGAGGTAGACATTAGGAGTTGATAGGGGTCGTGGCGCTGTTGGAGAATTTCGGGGTGCCGTTTGGATGGAAGAACCGGGTTCTGGATTTATGACTGATTTTTGCGGGTTGTCATTTTTCGGGGTGGACGACCTTGGTCTGGTAGTTGTCGCGGTGTGGATGCTGAAGCTCGTCGCGATGCCGACCGGGAATGCGAGGCCAGTGCCACAGGCAGGCCCAGGCCCACTGAGCTCCCCGCGTCATCACTGCGTTGGTGTGGCCCAAGCTCGAGCCAAGCTTCCGCCACACACATCCCGGCGCCACAGGTGCTCCGCCAATCAACGCATCACGAATCCAATTTCCAACAAGGCGCTCAATCCCGAACAACCGACGTCCTCGAAACCACCTCCCCCCCTCCCCCCCCCAAGCCAATTGGCATCCGACCACGCTGCTCTGCCCGAGCAGACACACCCGAAACCATGCTGTCACGAACCGCAGCGCCGTCGAGGGCGTCGCTCGCGCGGGCGGTCGCAGCCACGACGACGACGACGACGACCTCCTCTCTTCCCACCCCCGCGAAGCCGGTCTCGCAGTGCCGCACCATGGCCACCGTCGATGATTCCGCCCCCAAGCGCACCTACGGCGGCCTCCGCGACCAGGACCGCATCTTCCAGAACCTCTACGGCCGCTACCCGCCCGACCTCAAGCACGCCAAGAAGATGGGCGACTGGCACAAGACCAAGGAGATCCTGCTCAAGGGCCACGACTGGATCATTGGCGAGATCAAGACCTCGGGGCTGCGCGGCCGCGGCGGCGCCGGCTTCCCCTCGGGTCTGAAATGGGTTCGTGGCCACGGCGTGGGAGGGGGGGAGAGCGGAGCACACTGACAGACCGTGCACAGTCGTTCATGAACTTCAAGGACTGGGACAAGGACAACAAGCCGCGGTACCTGGTGGTCAACGCCGACGAGGGCGAGCCCGGCACCTGCAAGGACCGCGAGATCATGCGCAAGGACCCGCACAAGCTCGTCGAGGGCTGCCTCGTCGCCGGCCGCGCCATGAACGCCACGGCCGCCTACATCTACATCCGCGGCGAGTTCATCCACGAGGCGGCGGTGCTCCAGAACGCCATCAACGAGGCCTACGCCGACGGCCTCATCGGCAAGAACGCCTGCGGCTCGGGCTACGACTTTGACGTCTACGTCCACCGCGGCGGCGGCGCCTACGTCTGCGGCGAGGAGACGAGCCTGATCGAGTCGCTCGAGGGCAAGCCCGGCAAGCCGCGCCTCAAGCCGCCATTCCCGGCCGCCGTCGGCCTGTTTGGCTGCCCGTCGACGGTCGCCAACGTCGAGACCATCGCCGTGGCGCCCACCATCTGCCGCCGCGGCGGCAGCTGGTTCGCCGGCTTCGGCCGCGAGCGCAACCAGGGCACCAAGCTGTACTGCATCTCCGGGCACGTCAACAACCCGGTGACGGTCGAGGAGGAGATGAGCATCCCGCTGCGCGAGCTGATCGACAAGCACTGCGGCGGCGTGCGCGGCGGGTGGGACAACCTGCTGGCGGTGATCCCCGGCGGGTCGTCGACGCCGATCCTGCCCAAGAAGGTGTGCGACGACCAGCTGATGGACTTTGACGCGCTCAAGGACAGCCAGTCGGGCCTGGGCACGGCGGCCGTCATCGTCATGGACAAGAGCACCGACGTGGTGCGCGCCATCTCGAGGCTCAGCCACTTTTACCGCCACGAGAGCTGCGGCCAGTGCACGCCGTGCCGCGAGGGCAGCAAGTGGACCGAGCAGATCATGCAGCGCTTCGAGAAGGGCATGGGCCGCGAGCGCGAGATTGACATGCTCCAGGAGCTGACGAAGCAGGTCGAGGGGCACACGATTTGCGGTGAGTTTTCCCCTCTCCTTTCTTCCCGAGAGAATGAATGGTTGACTGACTTGACGCAGCTCTCGGCGAGGCCTTTGCCTGGCCCATCCAGGGCCTCATCCGCCACTTCCGGCCCGAGCTCGAGGCCCGCATGCAAAAGTTTGCGAAGGAGACGGGCGGCGAGGCGTTGGCTGGCGGCTGGGAGCACGACTCGCTCAAGAAGGGCAAGCTCATCTCGCCGGGCATGTAAGGGGCTGGCGAGCAGGAGGTATACGAGGGCGGTGGTGGTTGTGTAGACAAAAGTTCACAGCAGCCAGAGATTGGGAGGTGGTGGCGGTGGTGCTGGGTAGACTGGCGACGAGGGCTTGCGGACGCACTGTGCATAGTAAACGTCGTAGACGGGCTTCCCGGATGGGGAGGTCGTGCTGTACCTATTTGAGATTGTGGCATCTTTGGACCGTGACGGGAAGTGTTGACGGTGCTTATGAACGAACGAACGACTCAACCCACATCGAAACTCCGGCGGCATACACACCAAAAATATCATCCTTCCCCATCGCCGCCACGGTGCGGGATAGCCCCCCCACTCAAGAGCAAAAAAAGAAGAAGCAGACGATGTAGGAACCGCCGGGAATTGAGCCCGACGTGGGGGTCGAACCCACAACCTTGAGATATACTCATTTCTTGAACAGAAGAGCCGTGCAAGTAAGAGTCTCACGCTCTACCGATTGAGCTAGCCGGGCTTCTGTTGGGATTGATGGGAGCCATGGTGGGAAAATATCTTTTTCTTCGGTGGGTGGGAGGTGGACTGGGGTGATCCTGACTGTTGTGCATATGGGCGTGGGTTTTCAGGTTGGTGGGTGGGGGGTCGGATGAAGATTGAGGTTGTATTTAAGAGATCGAAGCTGGAACACGACCTATTATATAGTCTCAGTTCCTTAAACCCTCTGGCAGCTAATTAGTATTTTTAACTAATCAAAACTACCTACACCAGTTGACTCCCAGAGGGTCTGAGGGCACGGTGAACATTTTAGCTTCGGTTAGTTAGCGTAGTCGAGGTAGTTAGTCGCCTGTAATCGTATAGACCATAGCCTCGTACCTCCTATACTCGAGCTACCTTTTCAACCAGACATCTTACAACAAGCCAGATTCGGAACTATTAACCAAAAACTAACTATCGCCTACACTCGATAGGTAAGTACAGTAATTAATTCGCCTTAACGAGCTCTATCTAACCGTACTACAGGCGCTAAATTCCGTTAAGGCGTAGGCCTTCCGTCGACGCGTTTATCCGGATTAAAATAACCGTCGCGGTTAATTATAATAACGGTTACAATAACGTAAGGTATAAATTAGCCCGGTAACGCTCCGACACAGTACCAAAATCACCTTTCCGTACCTTTCCGTCGATTTCAACCTTTCGCTATTGGAAAAGGAGGAATACGAAGGTGTAATAGGTTTCGTCTGGTTGTAAGGATTTTCAGCGTATATTTTATTTTTCTATACAAGTTGTAGTAGAATAGGGAGACTAGGGTTATCGTCGGCGTCGTCGGCGTTAAACGGCTAAAAGCTAACTGAAGAATTAAACTCTACAGTCTCTAGAGAAGCGTATAGTTAAGTAATTAGAAAATAAGTTATACTATTAGAATCGTAACGCCTTAGTATATCTTAGAAAATTACGGACTTGTAAGGATCTACGTAACTATAGTTGTAGTACTATTTAGTATATTTTCGCGGAAGCGCTCTTTAGTATACTCTGTAACCGACCGAAGCTAAAATGTTCGCGATATTCTTAGACTAGCTAACGGAGTAGAGCGGCGCCCTATATATATATATATGTATAGGGTTAGGGTTAGTAGTAGTAGTGGTAGGTAGTACTTTACGGAGTCTTACTAGTCTAAGAACTAAGACTACCTATTATATTACTTTCTAGCAATCGGCACAAGTCGGACTCGCTCTAAATATCGTACTATCGTACCGTATATACCTACGGAAATAGTCTAATTCCCCTACTTTTTTTACTAAGGCGCTATCTACAGCTAAGAACATAAGTAATAAATCGACGAGCCCCTTTTATCTACACTACCCTTAGCGACCTTTTTAACTATTTAGACTATATAAAGTACCTATTACATTAAGTATACCTTATATAATAAAGGTTACGGGAGGGACCGGGGGGTCTCGGACTCTAGGGAGATCGGGGCCCCTAAGATAAGGGGGGGCCGAAGGGTCCGGAAGGCGGCCGAGGTTACGTAAAGGGTAAGGGCGGCCGTAGCTCTAAGGTCGTCGTCGGGGGTCCGAGGGACTCGGAGCTAAAGGGACTCGGAAGGGCTCTAAGGGACTCCGAGGGACTTTAAGGGGCTTTAAAAGGCTTTAAGGGATTCTAAGGGACTCCGAAGGGCTTTAAGGGGCTTTAAGGGTAAGGGCGACCGAGGGACTTTAAGGGATATTAAAGTCGTATAAGGAGTAATAGGGCTAGCGAATATCGGAGAGGCGATATTAGACTTAAAGGGATATAGAAGATAATAAAGGATAAAGGAGTTATAAGAAGGGTAAATATAGTAATTACTTCTCTTAATACGTATAGTAATAGTATAAGTATAAAGGTATAAAGATAAATAAGAGAGAGGAAAAACCTTTCTTACCTTTTATAAGAGTTTACTTTATATAAGGAGATTCCGATAAGGGTAAACCCTATAATCCTTTATTTATTTATATTTATAATAGTACTTTAAACGAAAAAATACTACCTCCGCCTTCGGAGGCGTCCGGGTAAACGAAATATAAGTACTTACGAGAAGTAAAAAACGAAAAAGTTATTATAGGGAAAAATAATATACCGTAGGGAGTATTTAATATATATCCTTATAGTATATAACGAAAAAAGGAAAGAAATTAATACTATAAGACCTTATAACCTTATACTAAAAACCGAAAAACTTTATATCCCTTACCTTCCGTTATCCGCTTCTCCTATATCTTCTCTTACTCCTTTAAATACCGTAAGCGCTTAATCTTTATAATTACTTACGTCCTTCCTTATAAAGTTTCTCGAATATAAGGTTATTCTTATCTAGCTAGGGCTAGGTTACCGTTAAGCTTTACTACTATTAAAAGGCTAGGGGTTAAAGTAATTATTAAGGATAAAAAGGTACTTATCCGGAGGGGTACTACTATCTTTATATAGGAGGGAAACCGTAAACTAAGGCGCCCGTTTAGAATTAACCGGGTTACTACTATAAGTAATAGGCGTATTAGCCGGGTAAGGGGAAAGTTAGTATACTTAAAAGGCTTAAACCGAAACTTAAGTACTATATCTAAGGCGGTACTTACGACTACTATATCTAAAGTATCTAGATATTTAGGCCGTTTAAACCTTATATAACGTTATAGTTTAGTATAAAGATATATTCGGCGAAGGCGGGCTAGATAATACGCTTTATAGGAGTTTAAATAGTTTTACCCGGCGTGTCCTTTTACTTAATATAAGGGGTAGGGCTTTTAAGGCGGGCCGCTTTAATAAGAGGTATATCCGATCTAAGGCTAGCTAAGACCTCGCGTATACGAACTCGCTTAATATACTCCTATTAGCCGGAGACCTTCCGACTAAGCTCGGCCTATATTATAAGTAAAAAGTAGGTATACTTATAGTTTAAAGTAATTATCTTATTAAGGGCCTTAGTAACCTCGGCGGCCTCCTTAAACTTACCGTATATCCGAAGCTCCTCGAGGATCTTAGTTATATAGGCGATCTCTTAGTTAAGACTTAATATAATAACGGCTATATCGTTAAAGCCGAAAGGCTATACTAAGATATTTATATTATCTAAGAAAGCTTCCTTACTCGCTAGGGTAACCTTTTAGTTAACGTTAGAAGGCTATATAAACGGGAGGTTCTCCTTAATATTTAGGCTATACTTATAGTAGTTTAATATCTAAAGGATTATAAAGTAGATAGCGATATAGTAAATACTCGAACTAATTTAATACTTTTAGTAAGAGTAGAAAGGTAATATAATATTCTTTTATAAGTCTAAGGCTACCTTTAGATCGACTATCTACCTATTATAGTTAAGAAGCTAGTTAAGTAGTATAAAGTTTACTATAGCTTTATCGTTCTTATAAAATTAGTAAGCTTACTTAGGGATATCCTCCCTAACTATATCGGGTATAAACCTACGGGGCTAGCTCCTAATATTCTCCTTAGTTACGAAAAGCTTATAAGCGATAAAGAGAGAAACCTCTTTAAGGTTATCGGAGTCGTCGGCGGACGTAATAGTTTAGTCCCGACAAGACCGTTAACGCTATACGATACCGACCCCCTTACTTATATACTACTCGGCCTATTACTTAACGTAGTAATCTTCGTCTTTAACCTATTTAACGTTCTTCTAAGGCTCCGTATTTAGCCCTACTTTCTCGTAAAACGAGTCTAAAGCTATAGCGAGGTTCGAGGAAAACTCGTTCGCCTTTATACTTAGGAATATTAAAATAACTTAGTCGATAGTCTCGGCTTACTTCGAGTAATAATTCTCTCCTTTAACCTTAGTAAAGTAATCCCGTATATACCTTATATCTTTAAAAGTAAGCTTAAGGAAGTCCGAGAGGCCGTTAAGCTAGAGTTAAAGGTAAAGCTCGTAAAGGAGGTTACGCTTATAGAAATAAATAAAAAGTAGCTTAAAAAAATAATATCGGGTATTATCGGTATACTCTTATACTACCTTCTTATTAAACGAAGTTAAGGGCCTTATTATAATATATCGGAGGAGAGCGAAAATAGTATCCTATTTACCTTCGGCGTAAAGTCTTAGGATAAAGTCGAAGTCTTACTAGGTATATTTACGGATAACGTCGACCTATTTCTTAATAGTAGCCTTATCGAATAAGTCGTCGCCTTTAATAGGTATCTTAGAATAATCGCTTATAGTTATAGCGGGCTTAGACGCGCTCCCGCGAGTAAACGATATTTTAAGATCGTCGGAAGGTTTTAAGGGAAATTCGAGAGATTAAGGAGTAGTTAAGGGAAAACGTTTCCTAATAAGGTAGTTTATTATTTAAGCCTAACTTTAAAAATAAGATAGGTAACCCTACGGGTTCCTTTTATACTTTTTAAGGGCGTTAGTTAGAATATTTTCGTAGTTAAGAGTCTTATAATTAATTTAAATAATACTTAATTAAACGGGTAATTCGCTAAAAGTCCGCTCGCGAAAGCTAGAGTTCTAGTAAGGCCCGTTAACGAGGTATAATCGACGAGTAGTTATAGCTTTTTCTTAACTCGTAAGAGCTTTAAAGTTCGGCTACGCTTATAGGTCGGGGAAAGGGAATTAACGGTTATATATACTTCTTTTTTAACTTATAAGAACTTCGGATTTAACGCGGCTAAGTTAAGGTATAGGTAACGGGTATATTTACGTTATCTTCGGCTTGTAAAAGCTTTAGCTTTAGCGAGGCTAGGTTAACGGATTAAGGGGAATAGATATATATAGATAAGGAAAGCTTAAAGAGCGTAGGGTTTACTTTAGAAAAGGTAAAGGTTAAGTAGTTAAAGGCTTATAAAGGTTAGATAGGGATCTAGGACTACGAAGCGGAAGAAAGTAGTTATTATTAAAAGGTAGAAGAAAGATTAAATAGTTTTAAACCGGAAGAGGTATTTAAATAGGCTTAAGGCCGGGGCCGGTACTAGCGCTAAGAGTAAGGCCGTAGATTACAAGGCCCGGAAGCGGTAACGGCCTTTAATTAGTCG